CTGGGAGGTGGGAACTCCCTGCTCCTTCTGCTTCCAGCCTCTGGGATACAGGTGGGATGCAGGCTCCAAGTATTTCAGGCCCAGCACCATCAGGTTCTTCATTCTTGGAGGTTGATCATGGAATCATGGAATGGTTTGGGTTAGAAAGGACCCTAAATATCACCCAGTCCCACCCCCTGCCATGGGCTGGGACACCTTCCACTGGCCCAGGTTGCTCATTTCTCACATCAGGTTGATCTTCACCTCCTGGTGGTCCAGGAATAGCGTTGCTGAGCAGGTCCTGGCAGATGATATCAGACAATCTCAGAATCATTTGGGTTGGAAAAGCCCTCCCAGGCCGTGGAGTCAACCCTGTGCCCTATTCCCACCTTGTCCCCCAGCCCAGAGCACTGAGTTTCTTTGGAAATGTTGTATCCTGGCCAGGAATGCTCCTGTTTCCATTACTTTTTCTGGGGAAGGGTTCTGACCTTAAAGCTCTTGCTAAAACAAACATTACCAAGCAAGTTTTTTCCTACTCTGGCTGTGAGGGAAGAGCAGGTGGAAGAAGTGAGTCCTGGGCTCTGCCCTCACACCTATGAGGCCTGGATGTCTGTGGGAAGGGTTTCCAAAGGCAGAGCAGGGTCCAACCTCTGGATAATTTAATCCTTGTGTTCTTGGGGTGCCATGTGCCCAATATTAGGATAGTCCAGAGAAGGGAACAGTGTCTGAAGTGATTCTTTCCCCCCAGCAAGGCACAGTTCGGTGTCACCCATCAGCCCTTTCGCCCTTCCAAAGACTCCCAGGATGGCACAGCAACAACCACGGCTTCCTGGGGCATGGATCACGCCCCTGAGCTCATTTGTGAGTGGTTTGCCATGGATTTATGGGAATGTTTAACCCAGGGAGTCTGTTGGCTCGTGCTGGTTGGCTGCGACTGCCGGGACATCACCGAAATCCTCATCGTGGCTGTCGGGGGTACCCAAACAAGGCCAGAGTTTCAGAATGACTTTTTTGGGGGTGTTTGATCCCTCTTTACAGCCACCAGAGAGGTCAGTCCTTCACTTAGGCTGTCTGGCTGAGTTTTGTAGGTGCACACACATGTGTAAGTGGATTATGCAAGAGGATTTGAAAATAAAAGTCTGTTTTATGGTTGTATCGTAATACATAAAAGCAAGGAGGAGAGTTTTATGGTGCTGCTGTCATCCCAAAACAGGCACAGCCATAAAACACACATTTCCCTGACAATACCTCCAATCTAAATGTGCCTTTGTCAACCAGACCCATAAATGATGAATAATGCAGAAGTGATAAAACCACTTAATAAAGGCGAATGCAGATGAAACAGAACAACCAGAGAGAAAAAAAAACCACCCAGCCAGAATTATTGGTAAGAGCAGTGAGTGACACGTAGGTTTATGGTTATATAGGCCTGTGGTTAACCAGTATGTGGTTAATGAATAGTCTTCTGTCAACAAGAAGTAAGTTAAGTGTCTTCCTGCCCTTGCCAGCTCGTGTCACAGCCTCACACGGGCTCAGGGATCGTCTGCTCTGCAAAATATCCTGAAAGTTACTTCACCTCTCTCTTCTTCTTTATTCTGGCCTTGGAGACTCTTAGTGTAGCCACATTTTACCACATTTCACTGTTGTTGTTTGGGTTTTTTCCTGCATTTATTTTACATATAGAACCATCTCGAGAGCCTCCTAAAGAAATAAATTCACTATGTGTTCTAGCAGAGTTGTCAGAAAAAAACCAAAAAACTGGAAGCAAGATGGAAATACTGCAGATTAGTAAAGAGAATAAAGTATATTTTCAAAGTTCTTTCAGTCTTAGTGATCTGAGTGTCGTATATAAAGATACAGAGAAATGAGATTTTGGAAAGAAGGGAAACCTACGGGGGCTTCTCTGATATTTGTTAAGTCTAATGGGATGGGTGGTTAAGTTTTTTGGAGGGAAGTTTATCAAACCTCATTGCTGATGCCTCATAGAGAGATCTGCTGTGCTGGCAGGGAGAGATTAATGAAGCTGTAAAGCTGTAATTGGTATTTAAAGACTGTCAAGAGCACGGCCATCCTGGCTCGGGGGGGATGTAGGACCCAAGAGTGGGTGGGATTCAGGGATTTGGAATCATTTTGGCTTCTGCAGCAATAATTTCCATCCCCAGGACTGCTTTCTGGTGAGGATGTGGAGGTGGGAAGACACTGGGATTTGTGCTCCAGCTTCTGGTTTGTCGGGGCTGTGATTCAGGATTCCAGTGGGATTTAGGGATTCACATCACTGGCCATGGGTTTCCTGTGAAATCCTGGCCAAGACACTTCACCTCCCCGTGGCTCCTCACCCCTGGGGGGTGGGGAATGCATCCCAAATTCCCAGGGATGTGCTGAGGACAGTTCCCAGTAGCTCTGTGTGTGTGTGTGTGCTGCCTTTGCAGCCCATCAGCACCAAGGCAGGAGCTGCATCAGGAGAAGGATTGAATTGCAAGGGAATTCATGTGGGGAGGGGGGATAATATTTAAATTTATCCTTATTTATAGGGCTAAATGGAGCAAAAAAAAAAAAATAAAAATAGGAAGGCTTGAAAAGGAACTAACTCAGCACTCAGGAGGGCTGGAGCCAAGTGGTAAAATGAAGGAGGCAGATCTCCATGTGCAACCTCAATTTTCTTCCAGCAGTTCCTGGTTATCTAACTTGGGGTGATGCCCCCTGATGTCTCCTGCTGATACCAATGATTTCTGGCAGCACCTGAGTCCTCTGTGATGCTGAGAGAACCGTGCTGAACCTGCTGACAGGCAATATTTTCACTGCTGCCCATGCCAGGGCTGTCATGAATGCACAGATCAGAGATGCAGGACGTTACTTTTGTCATTTAAAAAACGCCAGAACTAAATCCAGGGGCAGCAGCACTTTCCCCAACTCTATGCCATGCACAAAACAATTTGGAAGAGGCCCTCATGGTTTCCTTGCTGAATAATAGAGAAACTAAGCATTATGCTCTGCTGTATCCTCATAAATTGTTTTAATTCTCTGTGGACGAGCTGCAGGGATTTTTTTTTTATTTTTTATTTTTTTCATTCTCTCGTTTCTTGGCATGGCAGCAGCAGATGATTTTTTAAAGGGTTCTGGGTCACAATATGGAGTTGATCTCCTGGTGGCCTCGACCACAAAGCGTGGGATTTTATGATCTGAGCACCCAGTCCTCTTTCATTTTAACAAGTGCTGCTGCTGCTCTGACTCCTGTGGCAGTTCTGGAAGAGTTCAGCCACGATTTCTGAGCCTCCCTCGAACCACCACCCTCCAGAAAGCACAGATAACATCCCAGCAGTCGTGCATATCAGATAAACTCCAACTGTTAGGGGTAACCTCCTTTTTCATACACACAAACAGAGCGTAGATCATTTAAATATAAATTAATTCTTTTCCCCTGGAAACTTTGAGCAGTTGCCACGGAGGGGAACGAATCCAGCACCAGGATTATACACCCCACTCTCTGGGCACAGCTTTACCTTCAGCTGAAAGCTTCCAGTGCCATTCAGGGTGTTTGAAACGAGTTCTCTTTTTTCAGTAATATCTTTTTTTCTTTTTTTTTTTCTTGTTGCAGGGAAAAGCTTCACGTTGACCATCACGGTGTTCACCAACCCCCCCCAAGTAGCCACATACCACAGAGCCATCAAGATAACAGTGGATGGACCTCGGGAACCCAGAAGTAAGTGAGCTCAGGATGGAATTTGCAGAGGGATCAGAGCAGGGGTTGGTGAAATCCAGCCTCATCCAGTGCACGTGGAGCAGGGGGAATGTTTGAAGCCATGGCTGCCCTAAGAATGGCTTTAATCACTCCTTTCCAAAGGGATGATTATTTGGTTTATGATTATTTGGTTGATGATTATTTGGTTGATGATTATTTGGTGTCCAGCTGGTCCAGGCCGTGACTTGCATTTTTCTGAAGCACCTCCCCGGGGCTGACTTGGCTCCTGGACAAGAGCTGAGAGGAGGGATGCTGGGAAAAGGTGGGCAGAGGATCCCTGACCCATCATTTCTTGCTAGTCTTGCCTTTCAGATGTTAAGAGGATCTTATATTGGAAACCAATATGCCATTGATCCGAGCCTTCAAGCTCAGCCACCCTGCAAACATAAATAAGTGCCTGAGACAGGACATGGGGTTGTTGCCTGGTGGAGTTCCCTTAGAACCTGTTTGCTCAGCCAGCCAACCTTCCCTCTCCTCTTTCTTCTCTTTTTTTTTGAAAGAATGGAGCACAAGGAGGAGATGAAGGGTTTGATATCCCAGGGGAATTACCCAAACCCTCCCCACAGGTGGTTGTTTTGTTCAGGTGGTGAGGGCAGGGAGTTGTGTCTGGGGGGGTGAAGGGAGGGTGGAGCAGATGTGCAGGGAGGGAACGTGGAATCCCAGGCTGGTTTGGGTTGGGAGGGATCTGAAAGATCATCCCAGGTTGCTCCAGGGACACTTCCAGGGATCCAGGGGCAGCCACAGCTTCTCTGGGAATTCTATCTCTCCCAGCCCCTCACAACTCTTACAGGGAGGAATTCCTTCCCAATATCCCATCTATCCCTGCCCTCTGGCAGTTGGAAACCATTCCCTCTTATCCCTCCATCCCCTGGAAATAGTCTCTCTCCATCTTTCCTGGAGCTCCTTCAGGCCCTGCAAGGCCACAATCAGGTCACCCCAAAGCTTCTCTTCTCCAGGCTGAACAATCCCAGCTCTCCCAGCTGTGGTGAACATTTGTAAGTGTTTACCTAAATTTGCATGATGGGATTTTCAAAGGCTACAAAGCCTCATGGAATCATTGAATCATGGAATGGTTTGGGTGGGAAGGGAACTTAAAGAACAGCTCATTCCAACTCCCTGCCATGGGCAGGGACACCTTCCATCAGCCCAGGTTGCTCCAAGCCCCATCCAACCTGGCCTTGGATAATTCCAGGGATCCAGGGGCAGACACAGCTTCTCTGGGAATTCTATCCCAGACCTTCACCACTCTCACAGTCAAGAATTCCTTCCCAATATCCCATCTAACCCATCTCTCTGGCAGTTTGAAGCCATTCCCCTTGTCCTGTCCCTCCATTCCTTGGAAATAGTCTCTCTCCATCTTTCCTGGAGCTCCCTCAGGCCCTGCAAGGCCACAATCAGGTCACCCCAAAGCTTCTCCTCTCCAGGCTGAACAATCCCAGCTCTCCCAGCCTTTCCTCCCAGCAGAGCTGCTCCAGCCCTGGGTTCCTCTTGGGGCCTCCTCTGGACTCTCTCCAGCAGCTCCATGTCCTCCCTGTGCTGGGATCCCAGAGCTTGTGCCTGTCACCAGAGGCATTTGTTGGCCTCAGTCACAAACCCAAATGGGGCATTTTCATACTTTTATCAAAATGTAAATTGTGGTTTGTGGTTGGTGTCCTGCACTCCTCCTGCACCCTCGGGAGAAGTTCTGGCTGTTGCTTAAGTGGGAATTGTCCCGGGAGGACAGAACAGCAGGACTCAAACACCCACTAGAGAATGAGACCCACAGCTTGGGGCTGCTTCTCTAGAAAAGAAATGCTTGAAACTGCAGCTAAAATAGCTCAGAAAACTCATGTTTCCTTCTCAAGCCTTCATCTGCCTGAGTTGCACCACCCTGCTGCATGTGTTTGGTGGAAAAATCTGACCCGTATTTTTTGGACTTGAGGACAGACTTTCAAACAAATCCTGCTGGCAGGGTGAAGCTTTTTATTTAGTTTGGTTTGTTGTTTTGTTTTTGTTGTTTTGTTGTTGGGGTTTTTTTTAAACTCTGGTTGAATTGTCCCTGAAAAATCTCCCCAGTGAAACAGGCAGCTGTGCACATGAAAAAGATATTTGTATATGCAAGTGGCAGATTTGTGTATGCAACGACCTGGGCACGCTCGGGGTTTGCAGACAACAAAATAAACTTTAGTTCTTTGAATATACATCTGCTGGAAGGGTAAGAGACAAACTCATCCTGCAGGCACGGCTTCTGCTCCAAATCAATTCTTCAGTTGGTGTAATAGTTAATATTTAATAAGATTCTGCATTTTCAAAAGGAAGTGGAGATATGATACGGGCAGAGGGAACATACGTGTCTTCCCGACCCAAATGTGTGCAAAAGCTTCCTGGTTGTTAATTTGGGATGTTGGAAGCAAATCAGCTGCAGGGGGGAGGAGGTTTTCTGTCTGGCATCGGGAAAGGTCAGAGCCTGCCCCTGTGGGAACCCCCTCCCTGCAGGAATGCACAACTCCTTTATTGCTGAGTCATTCCTGACACAGCACAGAGGGGTGATGGGATCACGGGATCATGGAATGGGTTGGGTGGGAAGGGGCCTTAAAGAACAGCTCATTCCATCTCCCTGCCATGGGCAGGGACACCTTCCACCAGCCCAGGTTGCTCCAAGTTTATCCAACCTGGCCTTGGACACTTCCAGGGATCCAGGGGCAGCCACAGCTTCTTTGGGAATTCTATCCCAGACACTCCCCACCCTCCCAGCCAAGAATTTCTTCCCAGTATCCAATCTAACCCTACTCTCTGTCACTTTGAAGCCATTCCCCCTTGTCCTGTCCCTCCAGCCCTTGGAAATAGTCTCTCTCCATCTTTCCTGGAGCTCCTTCAGGCCCTGCAAGGCCACAATCAGGTCACCCTAAAGCTTCTCTTCTCCAGGTTGAACAATCCCAGCTCTCCCAGCCTTTCCAAAAGTATTGACTGCAAGGGGTCTGTGAGGACATTCCCTGACCCCAACGCTATTTAATCACAGAATTAACATTTCCAGCTCCAAAAATGGCATTTTCATGGCATCTGCTTCTGGACCTTCTTTCAGAGCGTTGGATACCACTGTCCCTCCTTTTCACCCAAACCATTTCTTCAGCTTGGATTTGCCTCAGGAAATCAGCTGCCTTGGGAATCTTTGTGCCAGGGCCTCACCGCCCTCTGAGAAAGAATTTCTTCCTAATCTCTAATCTAACCCTGCCTCCTGTTAGTTAAAAACCATTCCCCCTTGTCCTGTCACTCTCTGCCTGCATAAAAATCCCTCTCCCTCCTTTTTATAACCCCTTTAGGCACAGGAAGGGGCTCTGAGGTCTCCCCAGAGCCTTTTCTTCTCCAGGCTGAGCAACCACAGCTCCTGTCAAATTGTTATATTACATTATTATTATAATTATATTATGCTATATTATATTATATTCATTTTCAACTGGGCTTCAAAGTCTTTGGGGTTTGACTTCTCACCAAGGGTTTCCAAATCCCAGTGTCTCTTCTCTCCCTATATTTGAAGGAGATGTGGTTTGGCCTGACTCTCACGTGGCCTCCTGTCGTGATGAGATGTGTCAAACCACGAAGAGACTGAAAATGGGATTGGTCTGCTTGTGTTGAGACCAGAATCAAAATAAAACTGCTGGATTAGAGCATTTCCAGTTTCAGTAATGGATATTTGGGAATGCTCACAGAGCCAGGAGTCACTCACTGAAGGAATTACAGAAAGACCGAGAGGTATTTTCTAAGATGTCCTGACTCCCAAGAGATTTGGGGGAGTCATGGGAACAAAATTAGATGCTGATGTCTTAGAGAAAGTCGTGCTGAAGTTCAAAACCAACTCCAGCAAGTGTTTTATTTATTGACTTTCTCTGAGTGTTCCAGTGGGTGTCTGTGTTCTCTGTGGGAAGTGCTGGAAGATGATGGGCCAGGGCAGGTTCAGATGAGAGATGAGGAACAATTTTTCCCTGCAGGAGTGGTCAGACCTTGGAATAAGTGTCCCAGGGAGGTGGTGGAGTCCCTGTGTCTCTGGAGGTGTCTGGATGTGGCCCTTGGGGACGTGGATCAGGGGTGATCCTGGTGGTGCTGGGTGAGGGTGGCACTGGATGATCCTGAAAGCCTCTTCCAACCTGAATGATTGAATTTCTGCCTGTGCCTGTCCAGACAATAATTCCCATCAAAATTGTCACAGCTCATCAAGAGACCCAAGATAATTAAGAATCTGACTCTTCTTCCACTTCTTTCACTACATATTTTTTTAAAAAATCTCTTTTGAACTTAGCATTTCTATTCTCTGCTTCTGAATAAATGCTTATTTTCAAAATGGAGGGGTTTTTTTTGTGAAAAGAAATCAGACTGCACTGTCAGGGAGAAGGGTAAGATGACCTAAGCCATCGTTTTCTTCTCCAACTTCTGTGATTTCTATGATTCATAAAGCAATTTATGTTTTTATGAGCCAAGTCCATGGGGAAAATCATTAGCAGTAACCAGATCAAGAGTAGTGCTCCTGATGAAAATACTTCTGGTTAGGAAACTTGGTAGGAATAGCATGACTCTTAAATTAAATATTTCCCTTAGGCCATTTGACCTGCCGTGTGCATCTGCTGAAAAATTAGGTTTTTTTTCTTCTTTTGACTGCTTCCCTCTGTTTTCCTCATTGAATTGTTTTAACCTACATAGCTCTGAAAAATTCACTAATGGACCAGGTGCCTGAAAGTGAGGCAAAAAGGAAAGGCTACATGGATTTAGCCCCAGTCCAAGGTTAAGCTGGGCATTAAATGTGATTATCCCCTGGTGGATATGTAGTTTTCCCAAAGAGGTTTTTGACATCTTTATATCAAAGGGCAGGAGCAGAGAGAGAGAGAGAGAGAGAGGAATATATTGCTGAGCAGGATTCAAGAAGGAGCTTAAAAAGCTGGTCCAAGAAGAGCCTTTTTAGGAAGGAAAATTTCCTTTTTGCCTCCTGGCAA